TTTGGAACATGCTCTCTAGGATGTGAGCCACCTCTGCTCTTGGAGACTCCTCCTTTGGGGTAAGGTGGGTTTTTCTGTTCATTCCCCACATCCCTGGATGCTTGGGATCAGGGCTGGTGGAGATGAGCCCACCCCAATGGTCATTTTCCACTAGGACCATTGTTCTGAGAGCCTCTACTCATCTTAACCTCATCTCCCAGCCTTTCTTTGAGGAGTGCTGGCTGCTAAATCTGTATTTGAAAATAGCAGTGGCCTGTTCAAATCTGTATTTGAAAATGCAAGAATTACTGCTCCACTCTTGTCCTTCGTTCAGCTACTCCTTGCTTGAGAGCAAAATACACTTATGAAATGAGTTTTGCATCTGATACACATAAATAAGACCAAGGAATGGCTCTGGCATGTCTGGGCTGTGTGATCCTTGCAGGAGCCTGAGAAAGCATTTCCCTCCCTAAACTTGTGAGTGGCAGGATGCCTTCCCAGAGAAGGTCTGTGAGCAATCGCAGAGAGCAAAAGCTTTTTGGTTTTGCTTTGATGATCAAAAATGCAGTTGCCTTGAGTGTCAGCTGATATGAGAAAGAGCTTTATTTCAGGCAGCCTCTGCTGTTTTCAGTTAATTGAAGCTCGTGGTTGCAGCAGTGCCTCTCCTGACCCTTGTCTGGTCTCCTATCTCTGTCTGCCGCTAGTGAGCTGTCACCGGAGATGCTCTTCCTGCCTGGGCTCTCAGCCTGCTCCTGGAGATGCTCTTCCTGCTCAGCCTGGTCCTGGCAGACTGGACCTGTCCTTGCCAGGCTGTGTGTCAGCAGGGACAAGTGGCCTGGCAGCTGCTCCATGCTGGAAGCTCGGTTGCTGTCGTTTCCCTTGTTACTGCACCCTGTGCTGGCCAGGAAATGTCAGCCATGGGCTGCCAGCTCGGGCTTGGCTCAGCCCCCCTCATCCCTCTGAAGGGAAAGGGAGACATAGGGAATCATGGAATGGGTTGGGTTGGAAGGAACCTTAAAGGTCATCTCATTCCAACCCCCTGCCGTGGGCAGGGACATCTTCCACCAGAGCAGGTTGCTCCAAGGGAAAGAAAGTTGACCAGGAGCAGGTCACAAAGGTACACAAGGTTACAAATGGCACTGGAAGGTGCCAAGCAGGCAGGGACAGGCAGGGGGTGTGTGTTGGTGGCAGATGGGCTCTGTGCTGGGTGCTCACTCCTTTGGGTCTGGATCTGTATGACCATGAGATCTCTTCCTCCAAGTAGAAATAGCCTGGAGGAATCTCGAGGAGATGAAAAGGAAATAATTTTATTGCAGCAGCCTGCAAGTTCCTTTTTTGTGGGTATTACTTCTGCTTAATATTGGGGATCAAATTCTTCCCTGATATAAATCTGCCTGTGGCTCCTTTGGCTTTTATGGCACCAAAGCCATTTTGTGCACCTTGTTATTCACTGGGTCTGTGCCTGGATGGTTCCCAAGCCTGCAGATGACTGGAATCCCAGCCGTGGGTCCAAGGTGCTCTGCTGGGTGTTTGCAATCCAGAGCATCTGCCCAGGGAAGCTGTGGCTGCCCCTGGATCCCTGGAAGTGTCCAAGGCCAGGCTGGCCAGGCTTGGAGCAGCCTGGGACAGTGGACGGTCTCCCTGCCATGGCCGAGGGGTGGAAATGGATGAGCTTTAAGGTCTCTTCCAACCCAACCATGCTAGGATTCTATTATTCCATTAAGCACTTATTAATTAGGCTGTCTTGTATGGCACAGTAGATTGGGTGTGTTGACAGCAGCCTGTGGTCCAAAAGCTACAGATGCCACTGCTCTGAACATTCCTCACTAACCCATTAGCTTTTAATTTGTGTAAATACAGATTCTCCTTACTTATTTTTTCTTTTTATTTTTATTTTTTGTCACTTTTGGGGCTGGGAGAGCTCTTTGCCAGCTGCTCTGCCCACAGATCTTTTTCTCCAGATAACAAATCTTGGGACCAGCAGCTGAACCACGACACGCTGCCATTTTAACGAGCTGTAAATTTAGAGCATCTTGGCATATTTGGGAAAAGCATAAATCATAGGTTACTCCTGAATTATTTTTTTTAATTTCCAAAGTGAACAAGTAGCCAAGCATTAGGTTTCTTTCAGCAGTGACAGGCTAATTGTTTCAAAATGGGGCTGTGAAATACGTTGAGTGCTGCAATGCGGGATCAGCTGGAACATCTGTTCCTGAAAAACGCCATGTAGGAACATGGCTTCTAAACAGAGATAAGCCAGCTCAAACAGGATATGAGGGAACCTTGCAAAGCTGAGAAAATTGCTGTCATGACAGCTGTAAAACCAAAAACCTCTTGGAAATGCAGCCTGGGAATGCTGCTCCTAAACAGAAGCAGAGAAGAACCAATCTGGGTTTCCAGGGCTGGTCCTCTTGCAAAACCTTTAAAAAGTTCCTTGCCCATTCCTCTCTGTGAGAGCATTTTGGAAGCTCTGAGATGGCTTGGAAAGGCAGTGCTCACGTGAAGAAATTAGCTGGGAATTCATGTGGTTTTCAAGAAGTGCAAGACAGTTGTCAGAGGTTGGATTTTCCCTGTGCTGTGGCCATCACCAAAAACATGGCTCGAACTTGGATGGATGCAGGACAGTTGTAGTGCTGCTTCTGTTATTTTTACAGCTATTTCTGCATCCTGCCAGGTGTCTTTGTTAAGAAAAAGACCATCCTGGATTATGGTTTTTTCCAAAAGGTTTTTGATGTAATGGGAATTGAACTCTGATAATTAATTTTCACATGGCAAATGAAACATCTGGATATTAGGATAAAGGATTTTGGATATTAGGAAAAGGTATGGACTTGAATACGAGGAAAAAGTGTCTCATTCAGAGGGTGATTGGGCACTGAACAGGCTCCCCAAGACAGTGGTCACAGCACCAAGCCTGACAGAGCTCAAGGAACATTTGGACAATGCTCTCAGGCACAGAGTGGGATTGTTGGGGTTGTTCTGTGCAGGGCCAGGAGCTGGACTCATTGATCCTTGTGGGTCTCTTCCAATTCAGAATATTCCGTGTTCTATGATCTGAAGAAAACAGTGCTTGGATATTGGATCGTTTAGGGTTAGGTAAAAGTAATACATAAATTTCTGATACAACCCAAGCACCTGATCAAATACTGATTTTCCATGTCCCTGGGAGTATTTGAATTGTTTGGGTGGCTGCTGCTGCTGCTGCTAAAACTGACACCAAATGGAAAACTTATCCACGCCAAATGGAAAACTTGAGTGTGCAAACATTTTTAGTAATGTGAAAGAAGCTCTGAAAGCAGCAGGCCTGGGGACAAGCTTAGAAACATGGAAGTATTTTGGGTTACTGTGCCCAAGCTTCAATTTCACAAGATATTTCAAACACATCCCTACATTTAAATATAAGAATACTTGTACCAGCTTCAATGAGCCCCTTCTCTTGGGTAAATTTAGGCATAGGCTCAGATGTCTCAGTGGATGAGAAAGGAGAAGGAGTCAGCATGTTTCCTCCTCAGAGCCCAAATAGTGACAACTCCGAGTAAATCTTGGTTGAGTACATAAAGCAGATGAGTGCAAAACCCACTGTGATAAATGCTGTAGCAGTCCTTAAATCTTGCTGATCTTTAATCTGATAACTTTTCCTCCCTCAGACAAACTAGTGGGTGTAGGATTTCAGCCCTCAGACTGTGCTGGTGTGTGTGGATTTACATGTTGTTGTGCCTCAGGGCAGCCAGAGCATGCAGAAATTAGGAATCTGGGTTTTTCAGTAAAATATAGACAATTTTTAATCTGTCTTTTGTTAAGTTTATTCTTTAACAGAGAGCTTTCTCACTCATCCAGGAAATGCTGCTTTAGAGGTGCTGGTGCTGCAAAGCCAGCTTACACACAGGTTCCTGATGCTTGCAGTGAAGATTAAATGAAATAATTTCTCTTGCTGCTCCCTGTCCTCTGTTCCTGTCCCTGCTGAGGGATTTGTTCCAGGTGCTGGTGGGTGAGGAGGGAGGTGTGCTCTGTGCCCTGTGCACCCCTCACAGGTGATGTCCAAAGGATGAATGTGCCAAACCCCACCAGCTGAGCTGAGATGGGGCTGCAGAAGGATCTCCTGCTCCTGTCTGCCTGCCAGCATCATCTAACCCTTCCCTGCATCCTTCAGGCATCACCACAGGCAGCAGGAAATGACTGAAAATCCCTGGGGGAGCAAACCATCCATCTACAGCTCCCTGAAAGGAGGCTGGAGTGATGTGGGGTTGGTCTCCTCTCCCAGGTAATGAGTGAAGGACCGGAGGAAACAACCTCAAGTTGCACCTGGGGAAGTTTAGATTGGATATTAGGGGAAATTTCTTCATGGAGTGGCTTGTCAAGCACTGCAACAGCCTGCCCAGGAATGTGGGGGAATCACCATCCCTGGAGGGATGGAAAAGGCCCCTAGATGTGGCACTTGGGGACATGGCTTAGTGGTGGGTTTGGCTCTTGCAAGGCCATGGTGAGGTGCCCAGCTCAGCCCTTGCACTGCTGCCTTCCACTGGCCCTGCCCTCCTGTGCTGCTGCTCCCTGGGTGATCCAGGCAGCCTTGGGGTGCTCAGACCTCACCTGCCTCAGCTTTGTGCTCCTGCATCCATCCCCCAGCTGGGCTGGGCTGGGCTGGGCTGGGCTGGGCTGAGCTGAGCTGCTCTGTCCTCTGCAGTTCACTGATGCAGCACCACCTCCTTTCAATCCCAAATTTTCCCATTTCTGAGGGTGATGAGCGTTCAAACAGCAGCATTATGAGCAGTTTCAAAGCCTGCTCTTCAGCACTGAAGTCACCAGTGTTACACTTGCTCTTACTGATGAGGACTGGCTGCAATGCCAAAATGTCTGTATGAACTAAAATAGTTCATAGAAGGCCTTCAACAGAAGGCCTGTTCCTGGTGCCTTCTGTTTGTAAAGAGAATTTCATAAAGCCATGGTTCCTGCAGCCAAAAAGCAGTGACAGTGATGCAGCAGCTTTGTGGAAGAGCTGATTTGAACCTTTTATTTGGTTACAGGTTAATAAAGGCAAAACTTCAGTCATTGACTTCAAACCAGTCGGAGCTCAGGAACTGAATTTAAATCCCAGCTTGGAAGACATCTCTCCATCAGGGGTGAGAGCTACTGCCACAAATCACTCTGTCCCTGCTTTTGTGTGTGGATATTTTGGTGCTCCCTGTGCTCTCTGCCATTCAAGGACCTTCCAACTACCAGAGCAGTGTGGTTGCTGTAATTTCTGTGTGGGGTTACTCCTCATCCAGCGAGGAGATGAGATCAGCCTTGATTCCAGCCTCATTTCCCAGGTGCTGGTCGTGACTCATGGCTCTCACTGACAGCCCCCCTGACCCACTCACTGAGCTGAGCTCCTTTGGCTGCTCTGGCTACTCCACTGATCCCCAAATTAATCTTTCCACTTTCTTTCAGCCACTTTGCAGCTCCTCAGCAGCTTTGCCTGGAGCAGAGGAGTATTTTTCATCTCTGCTGAGTTTACACGAGGTGAATTCTCAGAGCTGCCAGCGCCGGCGAACTTCCCAGGCAGCAGCAGAGACATTCCTGCCTCTGAGTGAAAACCCAAGGCTGGATTGGATTTCTCTTGTTTCACTAATTGGCTCAGCACTGTGGTTGGTATTTATGGCTTTTGTGCTGCTCCTGGATTTCTCGCTCTGTCTGGTTTGTTGTGCTGCTCCTACGAAACACGGGAATATCATGCTCTCTTTGGGATATGCCAACAACTCGAGGAGTGGGTGAGTGTAGCCAAACAGATTTTCCACCTTCAGGAGCAGGGAAGCTGCTGAACTTTTGCCTGCCTTTTGTTTAGCATGGGAGCTGCTGTGTAGATCGTGTCTGCTGTGTGTATTTCTGCAAAGGGAGCCAGCAAGGAAAGACTTCTGCCTCCATCATCTGCAGAGCCAGGCATTTTTCACAAGGGGGAATGGCCTTAAGATGGAACAGGGCAGATTTAGATTAGATTTAAGGAAGAAATCCTTAGGTAGAGGGTAGTGAGGCCCTGGGACAGGTTGCCCAGAGAAGCTGTGGCTGCCCCATCCCTGGAAGTGTCCAAGGCCAGGCTGGATGGACTTGGAGCAATCTGGGATAATGAAAGGTGTCCCTGCCCATAGCAGGGGGTGGAACTGAATGTTCTTGAAAGTCCCTTCCAATCCAAACCATTCTGTGATTCCATGAATCTCCTTCTGAGATTGTTTTCAGACCCAGACTAGGCAGGAGCACAGCCGAGTACTAGGAGTCTCACCCTACTGTAGAATTATTTCCTTTCATAACTATTATCTTCCCTGTTTTGGAGGTCCTCTGCTCCTCCAGAAGAAGTGCTTTTAAGTGGTAATGAGGTTATAAAAACAGAAAATCAAAATGCTGGGAGAAATTTTGCAGACCCTTCAATGACACTTCTGTGAGCAGCAATGAAAAAATGCACCTGGGCTGCTCTCCTGGAGCTTTTTTTGACTCCTAGCAAAGTCTGTCTTCAACCAGCCTGGTCTCAATGGCAGTGCTGCACCATCATGGAAGTCTCTGAGCCCCTCCAGATTCCATGTAAAATGGAAACAAAATCTTTATTTTCTTTTTTTTTTTTTAATCACAATTCTTCAGTTTACTCTTGGCCAACGCAGCTGGAAAGAGAGAGGGGAAGTGTTGGGGGTGTGACTGGAGGTGATGCCACCACTGATGGTGTTCCTGCATCTGTTGCTAAATTGAACCTTTTGAAACCATCCTTGAGTGGAAGCCAGCCTGCAGCAGGTCCTTTGCAGGAGGGATGGTGGGGATTTTGGGGTGGGTGAAGGCAAGAGTGATGGACCTGAGCTGCCTGTTTGGCCACTTCCCCCAGGATCAGCTTCCCTGAGTTCATCAGGAGAGTGCCAGAACCCTCTGGATTCCTTCTCATGGTTTAAAGTAAGGCCTTTTCCCCAAGGAGCTGCTGTAAAAAGTAAAAAAAAAAACCTCAGCAGCCTCTTTATAACTTTTCATGCAGTCACATTCTAATTAAGAAACAAAACTCATCATAAATTGCTTTCCAAGGGACTTACTCCAAGTGGGGATTGAGGGCATTTGCCATGCACCAGCAGAAACATTTAAAAGTGTGTTTTTAGAGTGCAGCAATTTCAGCACAAGGGAACAGGCTATTCCAGCTCAGGGGATTTGACTATTCCCCATTTGGGGGCCCTGAGCAGTGCTTTGCTGAGGACAAAAATGTCTTAAGCAAGTACAAAAATCCCCTTTAGCTCAAGGATTTAGTGGATGGCCATGCTGGAAAACTGAAGCATCAGCAGGGAGAGTTGTTCTCTTGATGCTCTGGTCAGATGTTGGCACTTCTGAGACCCAGCCGTCCCAAGGGATTCTGGATTAGTTTAGAGCCATTACCCCTTGTCCCATCACTGTATGCCCTTCTGTCCTTTTGTTTTTGTTTTTTGTTCTTTTTTCTCTTTAAAGCAGAAATGCTTCCCTCAAACCCCTCCTTGCCCAGCTCTGAGAGCAGCCACTCCTCACCCCAGGGCAAGGGCAAGGAAGGGAAACAGCCCCTGAGAAAAAGAAAATTATCAAACCACCTGTTTCTAACCCATGCAGGGAGCAGGGTTTTGAAGCACTTTGGAGCTTTTCTCTGTGGCCTCAAGCCTGCCCAGAAAATGATTTCTAGCTCTACAGGCTGTTTTCAGTCAATTGCATCAAAATTTACCATCCAGTATTCCATCCTGGCAGAGAAAGAGCTTCATCCCATCTTCCTGGGCTGGTGGGGGAGTGAGGAGGGGGCAGCCAGAGGAGACAGGCACTCTCTGTGAGCCAGGAACTCTTGTGGGAGAGAAGAGAGGGAGGGCTTTGAGGCTTAAGAAAAATCTGGAAATTGTTTTTCTTCCATCCCTGGCTCCCTCTCTGGTGGTGCTGCTTTGTGGGCAGCACCATCAAACTCATCACCTCCTGCCCCAGCCATGCAGAGGCTTTCCAGGAGCCTCTGCCAATTGCAAAGGGCTGCAGGAAAGCAAACTGGCAGCAGGAAGGGGCAAGAGCTCAGCCAGGCACAGAGCAAGTGGGGAAAGAGGAAAAAAACAAAGAGAAAAGCAAACTGTGCCTCAAAACCTCAAGCTGCAGATCAGTTTTTTTTTTTTTACTTTAATTTTCTGAGATGACTTCTGCATCCTCCTCCCTTTTCTCAGCAGAGTCCAGCTGATTTTTTCCCTCCTGGGGAAGGATTGGACTGCCCCTGTCAGCAGCTGCAGACAGACTGATTGCAGTGTGTCACACATGCATATGTATAGGTGTATTTATGTGCACATCTATATATAGGTGCTGCCCTGACACTCTGAGACTATCCAAGGGCACAGTCCCACATCACCAACCCCCCAAACTTCTCCCTCCCTTACCCCAAACTGGCAAGTGTCTCAAAGTCGGGGTGAAGGTCTTCAATTTCTGCACTGCCTTGGAAAATTTCCCTGCTGCTGGAATCAGCATCTCCATTGATTATTATCTCCACTTGTACTCCAGCACTGCAGTCCTGGCATTCACAAGCTCTGCTCACCCTGACCCAGATCCTGGTACAAGAATTTTACAGTGAAAAATGTGACAGCCCATGGATGGACAGGCAGGATTTGGGAAGAGCCCTGACCTGCAGCAGTGGAGTTTCAACATTCCCTTTTGAACAGCAGGAAAATTGAAGCCCATCTCTGTCCTGGGAATGGGAAAGCTCTGCCATGGATGTGGATGGGTGATTTGAGATAAGAAAATGCTGATAAGAGTGCTGCATCCAACTCTGGGATCCCCAACATCAGAATGACATGGACCTGATAGAGCAAAGATGTGGCCAGAGGGCTGGGGAGCCTCTGCTTTGGAGACAGGCTGAGGGTTGGGGTTGTTCAGCCTGGAGAAGGCTCTGGGGAGACCTCAGAGCCACTTGCAGTGCTTAAAGGAGCTCCAGGAGAGCTGGAGAGGGACTTTGGACAAGGGCATGGAGTGCCTGGACAAGTAGAAATTACTTTAAATTCAAAGAGTGCAGGTTTAGATTGGATATTAGAAAGAAATTCTTGACTGTGAGGGTGGGGAGGCCCTGGCACAGGGTGCCCACAGAAGCTGTGGCAGCCCCTGGATCCCTGGCAGTGCTCCAGGCCAGGCTGGATAGGGCTTGGAACAACCAGATCTAGGGGAAGGTGTCCCTGCCCATGGCAAGGGGCTGAAACTAGATGGGCTTTAGGGTCCCTTCCAACCCAAACCATTCTGTGATTCTCTGATTCTCTTGCTAAGTTTGTTTTCAAACCAGAACCAGGAAGGATCAGAGCCAAGTTACCAGAGGTCTCATCCCACCAGAGAATTAATTTTCTTTTATAACTCTTACCTTGCCTTTTTCTCTTAGATGCTCAGCCAGTCCATAAGACTGATGCCACATTTTTCTTCAGGTCACCAAAATTTTATCTGGGGCTCAGAGGGACCATTAACACCAGTGTGTGGGGACACCTGTGCCTTTGATTTATCCCAGTGTGGAGGGAAAGGCCTCATGTGCTACCAGGTTCCAGGGTCCCCCCATCAGATCTATTATTAAAGATACTCCTGCCACTGAGCTCATTAAAAAATACTTTCCTCAGCTCCTTCTGGCCTGGCCCTGCCTCTTTCAAAATTGAACCTTTTAATTTGAATGAATCTTTAATTTGATTTTTGTGCTCTCTCCGTAAAGAGCTATTCCCCAGGATCCTTAGGATGAGTAATTTGATAAGGTTTAAAGAGGAAGTGAAGCCATGGAATTGATCTAATTTTGTTGATGTTGCTGCAGGATTTTATTGCCTGCTTGTAGTGGGGTTGGGTAATCATAAAAGAGAGAGGGAATGGGAAGTTCTGGGATTTCTGGGTCTGAGCTGCTCACCTCCAAAGGATTTAGCACAGGGAGCAGTGAAGGGAAGGGCTCACTCCTGGGTTGGTTTCCTGTTTTTTTCAGGGGTTTGCTTCATTTTCAGCTGTGCATTTTTTTGTGCTCAAGCTCTCCATGCAACAGGACACCAGGAGGAAGGGGGAGCAGGGAGAGGATATTTAGCAACAAAAAGTAATCCATGGGGACTTTCTGGAGGGGGGTTAATGGCTACTTTTAGGTCCTGACTCTATTTCTGGGAAGTGAATGGGCAAAGGGCTTGAACCTTTTGCCTCTGGAGGAGCAAACGGAGCTGGGAAGCAGAGCCAGGCTGGAGTGTGGCTCTGGGTTTGTGGGCTCTTGGTTTTGACCCCAGGTTTGATCTGCAGCTGCTGAGCACTGGATAAATGCACACAGCTGCAAACCTGATCTGGGGAGAGCACCTCTGATCCAGGGAAACCATCACATGTGCCATGGTGTGGGGTGATAGGGACGAAATCCCCTTCCTGCTCAGCCCACAGGGCCTTCCTGCAGAGCCTTTCTTGTCTGACAGCAGAGATGGAGGAGGTGGTTGTGGCTGATAAACGGGAAATCCTGCGGGTTCCCTTCCTTCCCCTCCTGGATGTCTCCCCAACCACAACACCGTGTTTGTCAAACCAGCACACAGAAAAGCACCTTCCCTGCTTCCCAACCCCTCTGGGCAAGCCCTGCCCTGCAGATGGAGGCTCTGAGTGCTCTCCTCATTTACACCCCTGGAGCTGAGGGCTGGGCCCTCACCGTGCTCACCCCAAACACTGTCACACCAAAATGACAGAAATCAGCTCAGCTTCAGCCATCCCCAGATGAGCTGGTGCTCTGCAGCACCCCTGGCCTCTCCAGTCCCCCAAAATGCTGAAATCTTTCCTTAAAATCCCCCCCCCAGGCTGCTTTTCCCCATGGGCCCTGCTCAGTGTGTGTGTCCCTGTCAGCAGCTCCTGGGCTAGCCTTTGAAGCCCCAGCACCATGGCTCCATCCCTCTGAGGCCAGACCCTGCTCCCTGCCTGCTGCCTCCCTGCCGGCTGCTGCAGTGGGGTTTGGGGGAGCAAATGCTGCTCTGGGAGCAGCCCAGCCCAGCTGCTGCAGGTGCCTGTGTCCCCCAGCAGTGGCACAGCTGGCATCAGGCATGGCTGCAGCTTGGTGGGACACCCCGGGGTGTCACACACACTCTGGGGGGCTCTGGCTTGTGGCAGAGCTGGTGTCACCTGCTCCATGGCACCTCTTGCTGCTGCTGCAGGGTCTGAGCTCGTGTCTCCCACAGGGGCTCCTGTGGGTGATTTGGGCCTCACTTTTCTCCCTGTTCAGGTGCTAAACCACCCTGAAAATTCTCTTTAACTGGCACCACAGCGTGCTGAGGCAGGAAAAACACCATAAAACACCTCAAGCTGGTGAGCTGGGCAAGGGGATGGGCTTGCAGTGACCATACCCCACAGGGATGCACCCAGCACCAGCCCCTGGCTCCAGAGAAGCTCCCAGGCACTCCCTGCATCCTCCTGCCCCTCAAGGAGAGCTGTGACCAGGCTGAAGGGTCTTGCCTTCACTTTCCACAGACCAACTTCAGCTGCCCAGGCTCCCCTGCTTGCCAGGACCAGCAGCACTGGCACCCCACTTGGAAGGACACAGCAGGACTGCTCCCAAGGGACATGGATCGTGCCACTTTTGGAGCCTTAAGCCAGCCCTAAACCCCAGGCCTGGATTATTCCTGCAGGAATCTTGTGTAAACCCTCCTCTGCTGAAGAGCTCATTTCCCATCCAGGCTGAAGTGGACAGAAGAGTGGAAAAAAAATTCAGCTTTTGTGCTGCTGGATCCAAGTCTCCGTCTGTGTTTAAGAGCTTGGCTACTAAAACCAGGGATGGGGAAGCCTGGTTAACCCATGCCTGGCAGCCAAAATCTGCATGTGGCTGTGCCTGTCCTGGCTCTGGGGGTGGGAAGACAGAGGTGCTCCAGACTTCTTTATTTTTAGGTGCCATCAGTACAGATAAAATCAGACTTTGCTGCTGATTTAGATGAAATTTGACCAGCAACACCGTTCCCAGCCTAATTTTATACCTTTTTGACTCTCCCCTGTATTCCTGCCCTTAAAATGTTTTATGGATTATGTAGCTCCTGCCAAAGGATTTGAGTTTGAAACCTTACTGTATTTTGGCCTGTAAAGATGTTGAATGAACAGTTTAAAACTCTGAGTCATTAAAACTGTCTGGGAGAACCTAATGAATGTTATTTACTGTGCTTCCCAGCTCAGCACAAATCCAGCTCTTTCTTCTCTTGCTTTCTATACTTTACTTTTAAAAACAGCAGCCAAAGTTGTCTGGAAACCATTCCTTGCTAGAGACAAACTGGATCAGTAAGTGGAAATGTCAGTTTTTAGAGAATCTTCACCACTGCTTTGAAGTAACTTAATTTTTTTGTTTGATTGTTCTAATTCAAAAGCTTTATCTTCTAGGATATCTCAAAAAAAAAAAAAAAAAAAAAAAGGAAATTTAGGGGCGGCAGCTACCTTTCAAGAGGAGAAAAAAAGAAAAAAAAAAAGCTGCCAAATCCTGATCTTTTGATGACAGTCTCTTCAGAAGGCTGCCTAGGTGGGCTGGGCAGCACTGCTGAGCTGAGCTCAGTTACTCTCCCTTCCTGTGATCCTGGAGAGGTCAGAATAGGACCCCCCATCCTCTTTAATTTCTGTTTGTGTTGCTGAGCTTAGCCTTGGAAATGGAAATCTGACTTGAAAAGAAACTACTTGCGATTAGAGGCTGTGAAAAAAAAAATAATCTAATGAGCTGCTGCTTTTAATTCCACATCTGAAAGGCAATCTATTACTGTCTTTTATCACTCCTGTCTCCTATTAGGGAAGCAATCTCATGCTGGGACTCTTTCAACACCCAGGCAGTTAATATACATTATAATTATTGCCTAATGTATGAATAGCCTGGTGTGCTCAAGTTGCCTGTTCATTTTTACTCAGCTCCTGGAAAAGCCCAGGCAGTACCTAAGCAGGGCTGGAGAAGGGCTCTCATGAGATTGATCAAGGTTTGATTTTAAATTATTTATTTTTTGCATCATGCTGCTGCCCCAGGGGCTCTGTTTGAGGACAAATGCAGAGTACTCTGTAGGAACAGACAATTCCTGTCCCAGAGGGGCTACAGAGTGATGGGTAGAGGAGGGAAAAGAAGGGGGATAAATCCCAAGAGATCAGCAGGGAATGGTCTGCCAGCAGTGAGCTCAGGAGGTCTGAGCTTAGGGTGGACTTCCTAGTGCTGCTAAAATTCATAAAGAAAAGAAAAAATTGATGAAATTTTAAAAAGTAAGTAATTCCCAATGTTTCACTTAAAATATTTATTTTTGCCCCTGATTTGCAAGTCTCAAATTTCAGCTTATTTAGCCAGTTTTAAAGCAAAAAGCAGAAGAAAAAAGGCCAGTATTTTTGAGGCAACATGCAACAGCAGAACCTCCCTGCCCACAGCCCCAGAGGGGCCTGACTGTGCCCTGGCCCAGCAGTGACAGGACCACTGAGCCCCAACCCCTGGGTGACCCGGCACGTGGGGTTTCAGACAAGCCAGAAGCTCACAGCAGGTTGTGGAAATCCTTTATTCCTCACCACATGTCGGGGACAGCTCGATGCAGTGATGGATTTTTGGTGCAGCAGCAGCAAGCACCGGGCAGCCTGGCACAGCTTCATGGCTGAACCCTCATTTGAACCTTCCCCCAAGTTTGCTGTCTGCAAACTCCTGCTCTCCCTCTTCCCCATGGCAATTCCCAAAGGTCCATCCACACCCAAGGATGGTGTGAGCCATCCCTGAGGGACTGAGGTCTGGGTGGTTCCTCATAGCCCATGGTCCTGCCAGGAACCCACATTGGTCACAACACCAGCGAGGGCTGGAGCAGCCTGAACCCCCAGGACAACTTATTCACCCTTTCCTAAAACTCTCGGAGTGCAGTTAATTATTTACAAGCCTTTACACTTAGGGCCACGTGGAGCCAAGGATAGAAGGGCATTAAAATGCCACTTGATGCTCACCAGGCCTGACTAATAAAATAATGTCCAACAAGGACATCAATTAGCTGCCAATTCGGCAACACTCAGAGAGGCTAATGACAGCTGGAGCGAGGAATTTGAAACCCGAGTCGTCTCTGCAGCCTGCACTGGGGTGCCAGGGATAAAAGGTTAGTCATGTGTACCAAATGCAGCGTGAGCTCCTCCATTATTTATGTGTGTCAAACACACAAGGAGCGTTTCAATGCCTGCAGTCACTCTATGGTAATTTGTATTATATAAACAGATATAATTTGGTCATTAATACACATAATTCTGAGCGAGCTGACAGTAATGAATCTGGAGTAGGTTATTCCATTGATTTGTTTCCTTGCTAGATGACAGTCTGGGGTAAAAAGGGCTGATGCACCGGGGACAGCAGCATTAGGAGTGGGGTGGCTTCATGGTGGACTCTTTATGGTGGGTTCAGGGTGGACTCAATTTTTTTTTTTTTTTTCCTCCAGGCCCTGGCCATGCACTGCAGGGATTTACACTCCTCTTTCCCCATCCCCTGAGTTTGCTGGCTCAGAGCTGCTCACGTTGCATCAATCTCTGCTTGGCACTGCACGCCCCATGTCCCTGGCTCTGGTGAGCTGGGCTGGGCTCCTCAGCTTCCCTGCTTCTTCCCACCTCTTGGAAGAATGCTTTCATTAATAGTCAATAAATGAGGGTTTTTTGTAGTGGTGTAACAGGCGTTTTCTGGGAAAGCAGAGGTGGGTGTGTGTGGACATTGCTTAGAGCCTTGTCTCACCACAAATACAGCAGATCTGTGCCTCTCTCTGTAGATTTCCTTATTTTTTTAAGGCACTGGAAGGTGAAGATGCCAACTGGTGATGCCTCTCCACCTGTGCCACGAGTGGGGCAGCTCAGCTACTGACAGCTGAGCCAACAGTGCCCGTGGGATGTGTTTAGATGAGCTGATTTCCATGCAGCTGCAGTGGAAATGGGAGCAGCTTTGTGAGTCAATAGCAGGATGGCCACTATCCTGCACATGAGACATCAGTCCCCCACTGTGAAAAGAGGATCTGCTATTCCCTCTTGGCAAGGTGGCTCCAGGCAGGGAGGCAGGGAGCACAGTGGTGCCTTGTCCTGGGAGTGAGCCTGGCCATGTTCTCATTGAGCTGCCCTGGGCTCACCCGTGCTCTGCAACTGTCTCCATCAGTAAAAGGTTTCATGACTAACTCTGCCTTTCTGGTAACTCTGAGGATGCTTTGGGAGCTCCCTGAAGGGCTGCAGCTCTGCTAAAGAGCAGGGAAGGGGCTGAGCAGGATTTGTATGGAGTTTCTAAACCAGATTGGCAATAAACAATGTGCTAACAAACCCAGATGAGGTGGGTTTGGGAGTGTCCAGCTGGAAAGGCAAACTCTTGATCCCACAGTGAGTCTCAAGCCCAGGAGCTGTAGGGGAGTGTCTGCAAGATCCTGTCCCACCCAATGCCCTGGTCCTTCTTGCTGCTCCAAGGGCAGTATCCAGCAACAACAGCACAGGCTCCTCCTGAGATTTAATCTCCAGGATCCAGGAGGCCAATCCTGCTGCTCTTTAGGAGGACAGGAAAGATCTGTTTGCCAATGGCACAACTGGCTCATAACTACCAGTGGAGATGGGGCAGAGATTTACTGGAAGGCTACTCCCAGGGTTTTAGGTGTTGCACCCATGTTGATCTGACCCAGTGTTACCTCACACACGTTCTGGCCTCTCCTCTGCATGGGAATTCCCAGAGCTGCTTCTGTTAGCAAAGCATCAACAGGAAACTGGAAGGCAAAAGCCCAGCACAGACAATTCTGCCTTGCTGCAGGTTGGACAAACCCCTTTATTTAAAAATATCTGATCTCTGCCTAATGATCACCCTACTGCCCACTGGGGGGAAAGCTCTGTCATCAGCTCCAGGTGATGTCACTTCACCCTCTGGCTGTTCTCAAAGGACACACACAAAAATTGGTGCTCTTCTGCAGGGCTATTTCCCCCCACATGGAAACCAAAAAGTTCCCCTGTACTTTAAAAAAATTGCTGCAATTGTCCTAATTCTCTTGGCTGTCTCCTCCCCTTTTGTTTCCCATATGGATGTTCCATGGATCATACCTTTGGATTTGTACTCACTGCCTTCAGCATCTCTGTTCCCCATTTCTTTATAAATAATATCTCTGTTCTCCTCTTGATGAAGAAGTATTGTTTTAAACACTAGAACAGTCCCTTACTTGTCAGATTGTGGCTTTTGTCAGTATAAAGAAATATTCTTTAATATTGCCTATTATCATGCTTGGGATTTTTTGTTTGTTGTTGGGGTTTTTTGTGTTGTTTTGGGGTTTTTTTTCTGTTTAAATTCTTTCTCTGAACTGAGTTAGCCCATGATTATTTTCAGGTTGGTAACAGCAGCCTGAGAGAGCAGCAAGGCAATGTCTGACTGGGTTTGATTTTATTCCATCTGCACATAACAAATGTTTTTGAGTGGCAATCACTTCCCACCTAAGCTACTCTGTGTTTTCAGTGCTGTGATCAAATTCTCTGTATCTGCCAAGAAAAAAGGTCTGATCCACAGTTCTCCCTGTTGGATGTGTGAGTTCTTTTGAGATAGCAAATAATCACCATCATCCCTCACAAGCACGGCGCCTGTCTCGGTGCTGGAGGCAGCTTTCCTGCAGATTTGCTCCATTTGAAGTTTCCCTGTGACAATCTGGCCCTTTTCCCCTCCTTGCCTTTGGCAGCTGCTCGTGGGGGATGTTCAGATGGTTCACAGGCTTGATTTTGTGCTCCACTGCAGACACTGGCTGGTCTATTTTGTACTTTCTATTTTAGATGATTGAGCCATCAATTTTCAGATTCATTTACTACTGAGTCCATTGACCTGGATGCTCATGATCCCGTTTCTAACAGGTCCCTATCTTATCCTGACTTCAGCCTCCCTAAAAGCCATGGTTTTAACACTCCAATGAGCTTCCCACCAGGTTTTTATCTTTCCAGCTAGGCCAAATTTTTGCTGTACAACAGAGATTCCTGTTTATTAGCCAGGACCTACCTTTGGTGAATAGGTGATGAAAGCGGTTTTCTCCACTTCCTTCTTTGCTTTGATTAATTTTGTTCTCAGCACCTTCATTATGTGTTAAATGAGTTTCCATTTGTTCCCTCTTTGCACCTTTCCCTTTTGTTGTTAGTTTAACACCTCCCTGCCCAAGGCAGCCTGCTTTTGCCTCAGAAA